AAAAGTTTTGAATTTTATTGAAAGTTGCTTAAATCATAAGCAAAAACCACGCTGTGGCAATTAAATCAACAAACATAAGCAGACCAATCTTTTGATCCATTCATAAGCTCACGAATAGTACACGCTAACTTGACAATTTCGCAATTCTGATGATTATCAAACACAGTCAACAAACAGTTAGAAAAGTCAATGAACGCAATTAAACTGAGAAAAAAACTGGCTCGCCTTTTTGCAAAACTTAACTTCCGAACTTCAAATAAAAAAATGAATGGTCTTGAAGCTCGCTGAATTTTTAGACCAATTAGTTGTCAACTTTCTTGAAAAAAAACCCAATTTCAGTAAACTAGATCAATAGGTTGTTCGTGACCTTAACACTTTTACTGATCGATAGTTGAGTTTGTTTTCTTTTTAACAAACGAAATGAAGTTAATTTATTTGAAAAAAATAAAGAAATCAAAAGACAATTTTGAATCAAAAAACACTCAATTACGTCCACCATTTGGAGAAAACAGCAAATAGTTTTAAATTTTAGAGAAAAATGTTGAAATCATAGGCAAAGTCAACACTGTGGCAATTAAATTAACAAATAAAATCAGACCAATCTTTTGCCCCATTCATAAGCTCATGAATACTTCACGATTACTTGAAAATTGCGCCATTCTGATTATTATCAAACAGAGCCAACAAACAGTTTAAAAAAGTCAAGGAACGCAAGGAAACAGAAAAAAACTGGCTCGTATTTTTGCAAAACTTAAACTTCGAATAGAAAATAAATGGCCTTGAAGATTGTTGAATTTTTAGACCTATTAGTGGTCGACTTTCTTGAGAAGTGTAACCCAATTTCAGTAAACTGGATCAATAGGTTGTTCGTGACCTTTACACTTTTACTGATCGATAGTTGAGTTTGCTTTCTTTTTAACAAACGAAATGATGTTAATTTATTTGAAAAAAAAAAGAAATCAAAAGACAATTGTGTATCAAAAAATACTGAATTAAGTCAACCATTTGAAGAAAACAGCAAAAAGTTTTGAATTTTATTGAAAATTGCTTAAATCATAAGCAAAGTCCACGCTGTGGCAATTAAATCAACAAACATAAGCAGACCAATCTTTTGATCCATTCATAAGCTCACGAATAGCACACGATAACTTGAAAATTTCGCAATTCTGATGATTATCAAACACAGTCAACAAACAGTTGAAAAAGTCAATGAACGCAATTAAACAGAGAAAAAAACTGGCTCGCCTTTTTGCAAAACTTAACTTCCGAACTTCAAATTAAAAATAAATGGTCTTGAAGCTCACTGAATTCTTAGACCAATTAGTGGTCGACTTTCTTGAAAAAAAATAACCCAATTTCAGTAAACTGGATCAATAGGTTGTTCATGACCATAACACTTTTTCTGATCGATAGTTGAGTTTGTTTTCTTTTTAACAAACGAAATGAAGTTAAGTTATTTGAAAAAAAAATAAAGAAATCAAAAGACAATTGTGAATCAAAAAATACTGAATTACGTCCATCGTTTGAAAAAAAAAACAGCAAATAGTTTTAAATTTTAGTGAAAATTGCTTAAATCATAAGCGAAGTCCACGCTGTGGCAATTAAATCAACAAAGATAGGCCGACAATCTTTTGACCCATTCATAAGCTCACGAACCATTCACGATAACTTGACAATTTAGCAATTCTAATGACTATCAATCAGAGCCAACGAACAGTTCAAAAAGTAAATGAACGCAAGCAAACAGAAAAAAAAAACAGGCTAGTATTTTTGCAAAACTTACCTCTCGAAATTCAAATTAAAAATAAATGGCCTTGAAACGCGTTGAATTTTCAGACCAATTAATGGTCGACTTTCTTGAGAAAGTAACCCAATTTCAGTAAACTGGATCGAGAAGTTGTTCGTGACCTTCACAGTTTTGCTGATCGATAGTTGAGTTTGTTTACTTTTCAACAAACGAAATGAAGTTAGTTTATTTGAAAAAAAAGAAATCAAAAGACAATTGTGTATCAAAAAATACTCAATTAAGTCAACCATTTGAAGAAAACAGCAAAAGGTTTTGAATTTTATTGAAAGTTGCTTAAATCATAAGCAAAGTCCACGCTGTGGCAATTAAATCAACAAATATAAGCAGACCAATCTTTTGATCCATTTATAAGCTCACGAATAGTACACGATAACTTGAAAATTTCGCAATTCTGATGATTATCAAACACAGTCAACAAACAGTTGAAAAAGTCAATGAACGCAATTAAACAGAGAAAAAAACTGGCTCGCATTTTTGCAAAACTTAACTTCCGAACTTCAAAGAAAAAATAAATGGTCTTGAAGCTCACTGAATTTTTAGACCAATTAGTGGTCGACTTTCTTGAAAAAAATAACCCAATTTCAGTAAACTGGATCAATAGGCTGTTCATGACCATAACACTTTTACTGATCGATAGTTGAGTTTCTTTTCTTTTTCACAAACGAAATGAAGTTAACTTATTTGAAAAAAATAAAGAAATCAAAATACAATTGTGCATCAAAAATACTCAATTACGTCCATCATTTGAAAAAAAAACAGCAAATAGTTTCAAATTTTAGTGAAAATTGTTTAAATCATAAGCGAAGTCCACGCTGTGGCAATTAAATCAACAAAGATAGGCCGACCATTCTTTTGACCCATTCATAAGCTCACGAACCATTCACGATAACTTGACAATTTAGCAATTCTAATGACTATCAATCAGAGCCAACAAACAGTTCAAAAAGTAAATGAACGCAAGCAAACAGAAAAAAAACTGGCTAGTATTTTTGCAAAACTTAACTTTCGAAATTCAAATTAAAAATAAATGGCTTTGAAGCTCGTTGAATTTTCAGACCAATTAATGGTCGACTTTCTTGAGAAAAGTAACCCAATTTCAGTAAACTGGATCGAGAAGTTGTTCGTGACCTTCACAGTTTTGCTAAACAATAGTTGAGTTTGTTTTCTTTTCAACAAACGAAATGAAGTTAGTTTATTTGAAAAAAAAAATCAAAAGACAATTGTGTATCAAAAAAAACTCAATTACGTCCACCATTTGGAGAAAACAGCAAATAGTTTTAAATTTTAGTAAAAATTGCTTAAATCATAAGCAAAGTCCACACTGTGGCAATTAAATCAACAAACATAAGCAGGCCAATCTTTTTCACCATTCATAAGCTCATGAATACTTCACGATTACTTGAAAAATGCGCAATTCTGATGATTATCAAAAAGAGCCAACAAACAGTTTAAAAAAAGTCCATGAACGTAAGGAAACAGAAAAAAAACTGGCTCGTATTTTTGCAAAACTTAAACTTCGAACTTCAAATAAAAAATAAATGGCCTTGAAGCTCGTTGAATTTTTAGACCTATTAATGGTCGACTTTCTTGAGGAAAGTAACCCAATTTCAGTAAACTGGATCATTAGGTTGTTCGTGACCTTTACACTTTTACCGATCGATAATTGAGTTTGCTTTCTTTTTAACAAACGAAATGAAGTTATTTTATTTGAAAAAAAAAAGAAATCGAAAGACAATTGTGAATCAAAAAATTCACAATTACGTTCACCATTTGAAAAAAATCAGCAAATAGTTTTAAATTTTAGTGAAAATTGCTGAAATCATAAGCAAATTCCACACTATGGCAATTAAATCAACAACTATAAGCAGACCAATCTTTTGACCCATTCATAAGCTCACTAATAGTACACGACTACTTGAAAATTGCGCAATTCTAATGATTATCAAACAGAGCCAACAAACAGTTAAAAAAGTCAATGAACACAAGGAAACAGAAAAAAACTGGCTCGTATTTATGCAAAAACTTAACTTTCGAATTTCAAATAAAAAAAATAAATGACCTAGAAGCTCGTTGATCTTTACGACCAACTAATGGTCGACTTTCTTGAGAAAAGTAACCCAGTTTCTTTAACTTTTAACCTAACTTTCAAACTTCAAATAAAAAACAAATGGCCTCGAAGCTCGTTGAATTTCAAGACCAATTAATGGTCGACTTTGAAAAAAAATAACCCAATTTCGGTAAATTGGATCAATAGGTTGTTCGTGACCTTTACACTTTTACTGATCGATAGTTGAGTTTGCTTTCTTTTTAATAAACAAAAAGAAGTTGATTTATTTACAACTAAAGAAACCAAAAGACAATTGTGTATCAAAAAATACTCAATTACGTCCACCATTTGAAGAAAACAGCAAATAGTTTTAAATTTTAGTGAAAATTGCTTAAATCATAAGCAAAATCCACGCGGTGGCAATTAAATCAACAAATATAAGCAGACTAATCTTTTGACCCACTCATGAGCTCACAAATAGTACACGATAACTTGAAAAATTCGCAATTCTGATGATTATCAAACAGAGCCAACAAACAGTTAAAAAAGTCAATGAACGCAAGGAAACAGAAAAAAACTGGCTCGTATTTATGCAAAACTTAACTTTCGAATTTCAAATTAAAAAAATGACCTAGAAGCTCGTTGATCTTTACGACCAACTAATGGTCGACTTTCTTGAGAAAAGTAACCCAATTTCAGTAAACTGCATCAATAAGTTGCTCGTGACCTTAACACTTTTACTGATCGAAAGCTGAGTTTGCTTCCTTTTTAACAAACGAAACGAAGTTAACTACGACCTAAAAATAATTACGACCTATCTATAAGCACTCACTACGTCTCATGACTTTTAATTACTCAACCATAAGAAATCAATTAAATATTCCAGCTATCTTAAAATTACAATCACTTCCTTCTAATAAATCAGAGATGAGTGAAATTTGTTCAAACAATTGTGGCCAGAAAACCCCAGAATATAGCAGAAACCCTGGACAGGTCCTTCAAACCAAATAAAATGCCAAAATTGTTGACCACAGGTATCACTAGAAAATAACAATTAGAAAAAAAAGAGACGAGATTCATAGATTTTGTATGCCCTTTTGCTCTGCTATTCTATTATTTCAGCCTTGCCTTTACGGAAAATAGGCGAAATAAAACGCATTAAATTTAAAAAGAAGCAATTAAGTATCTAAAGCATCAATCTGGCGAGTTAATTGAAGGTCTATGCTTTTTACAAAGGTGGCGGGACAGAGCTTTCCGGTACAAAATACTTCTGGTTAGATTTCAACATCAACAGAATCGGCTGTTGCTCTCTTAATCTGTACATGTATTCATCAACTTCATCTCCGAAAGGATTCATATACACATTCTTCAGCGGTAGATTTATATGCGTCGTGAACCGTGCGAAAGCATCTGTTCGATTCGCACGCGAAAGATTGACCGCGTCGGCTTTCGTCGTTTCACGTCTCGGTTTCAATTGACTTGTCTTCAACTCGCCTATTCGAGCTAAACTTCGGTCGACCGGAACCTTCGGCAGCACCAGGACTGTCTTCCGATTTGAGGGATCCAGCATTTCTTGTCGATCCTGATTTGTTCTATCAAAGAAATCTTGTAACTCGCATTCGGTGTAGTAATTAATCGCCTCAATTGGCGTTATATGATCCACAATATTCCCTGGAATACGATCAAGAACGGCGACCACGGCTCGAGTTGGTTCGGGTAAATCAGAGCTTGTTAGTTTAACACGTGTCTGGAACTTTTTGCCGGTAGCGCCTGGGAGCAACATGTTTCCACACTTCAACTCGTCAATTACGTACTCAACTTGCTCAGAAAGTTTTCGAATCAGTACGTTTAACCAGTCTTTAGCCTGCTCTAAAACGTTTCGTTTGTACCCCAGATCACCAGTAACGGGTAGGTTCCACGAATCCATGTACTTGTAGAACAACTTCTGAGGGTCCATGACGCCCATTTTTCTCAAGGTGTCAATAGCAAGCTTCTTTGTTACTGCGTCTTTCTCGAGATATATTGTCATCGCCTCGACCACAACTTCGAAATCATATTTCTTCAAGGCAACGAATAGTCGAAGACAAGATTGAAAGAAAAGTCGTCCGTATACAGTCTCGCCTGTCGGTCCGTCCGATTTGTTCAACACAAATAACACCGATTCTATGATTACATCACGCATATCCGTTAGATCCCACTCTTGGTGCAAATCTTTCAGATAATCCACCATCGGCGCTTTGTACTGGATCTCACATGTCTTGATGTATCGCAACATCATTTGGGCAAAAGATCCCGGGTACCATGGCTTCGGGAACGTTCTTTCGTTCAAGTTCGGGAAAAACTTTTCGTACCAATCTTGACCTCTATTTTTGGTTATATAATCTGGCAATGGCGTGGGCGGTTTCTGAACTTCGGGCTCTTTCTCATCGTCAAATGTCAATGAGGTGACTTTCTTTACGGGTGGCGGCGGAAGAGGTTCGGGTGACTTCTGCTCCGGCCTCGAGACAAATTTGCGAACTGGTTTTGATTTTTTTTCAGCGATGAGCTCCTTCTCTTTCGCTTCTTTATTCGCAGCACCTTCCATCTGTTCCCGAACTCTCCTTTCTCTTTCCTCGGCGTCTAGTTCCTCTTGACTCTTTTCCGGTTCCGGTGTAGGCGAAGGGGTTCTCTGAGCCTGCTCCATCTTTTCCATCAAACCCGACTTGGTCGCTGGATCCTTTGCAGCTGGTGGCGTCGGAGGCAAGTCACCCGTATCATCTCCAAGCAAGTCATCTTCGTTGTCATCTTTTACTCTCAGTCGGTTATAGTACTCCATTTCTTCTATTTCCTCGGCTGTGAATTCACGCGGCTTGAACTGATCTTCATGCTCTTTCAAAACGTCTTCTGGGTATAAATTCTTCAGTGCTACTGAATTCGGAAGGTATCCCGATAGACTTACAGGCAGAAGCTCTTTTCCCGGGTGCTTCGACAACGTCGGAAAGAATCCCGAATCTTCCATCAGGGCTTTGCTGGAATACAAAGGTGGCATCGCTCGTGTTTTCTTAGCGATCGAAGTCTCGCCACGATTAAAGCTATCTTCCAATTTGGGTAAATCAACTTTCACGTGTTGGAAAAAAATCGCGAGGTACTTCTTGAAAGCAATCTGATTCACTCTCTCGTTGTAAACTCGTTTTGATTTTTTAAGCATGTCGTACTGTCCGTTTCGCAGCATCTCCAATTCGGCGTCTCGTTTCGCAATTTCGTAGAACTTTGTCTTCTCATTCTCTAACTCCCGGTCAATTTCGAGTTGCTCTTCCGGCGGTAACTTATCTTCGTAGTTTATATAGTTCATTTCTGAACAATGCGCAGCTTTGAGTCGTTTGACATCAACCATGTCTAAAGATTGGAGTCGACTTTCGTCGTAAGGAGTTGGAGTTTCAATTTTCAAATCATCTGCACCAACTGTCAATGCTTTATACAAAAGTGACTTTGTGAAATACCTGGTGTGGTAAATCCTATAGAGATGATCTCCAATTCCGACAACCAAATCGCTAGAATCATTAGCGAACTCGACACTGTATATTGGTGCATTTAGCTTCAGAACACGAATCAAACGACTATGATCGCTCCAAATCCGAATAGTTTCGTCCTCTCCCGCTGTAGCGAAGAGCTTCATCTTTGTACTCGCTGCTACTGAAATGATTTTATCAGTATGGTCATCTGACCTAACATGTTCAAATTTATTTCTTTCCTGAGTCTGAACTGACGATGCGTACATGCCAATCGAGCTATCCTGATAAGCAACTAGCATCTTGTTTTTAAGGCACGTGATATGCGTGGGCGTTCCAGGAAAGAAAAATGGAAACTGGACAACTAGTGGGTCCATTTCAGCGTCTGGAGTAACTTTCCAGATTTTGACAACTTTATCCGTTCCAGCAGTCAGAAGCTGGTCATATTCCGGGTTAGCTACTATACAAGTGATGTTGCTCATTTCATGGGCAGTCACTTCTGAGAGTATTTCTCCACTTTCGTGGTCAATTAGACAAACCTCTCCATCGTCACGACCAACGAAAAGCATTACTGGATTCTCATGTTTATCGGGACCAGCTGCCGAAGTCGCCCGCTCCAATTCTGTAGTTTTAGCTGCCCTTGCCAGACCTTTCCAAACATCATGGCTTGGTAAATTCTTTTCCTCTTTCAGCAACTCCTTTCCTCCGATGTGTTCATAAATGCAAAAACACGATATTTTGTGACCTCTAAACTGTTCTGTGAAGCTCCACCTTTCCACAACTGTGGCAGGGTTCGTTGTCATATTAGCTGAAACAATTTCGTTGCTCTGAAGCAAACAGTACGTGTAATTGAGCCTCGAGATGAAGTACGAGTCTTTGATTCGGTCCTCGTAATTCAGTAGAACTGTACCGAGGACGTTGCCGGTGTTCGGGCAAACAATCCGAACTGATCCATCTTCGCACGAGCAGGTCAGGCGTCGGTAGTCGAAATACTTCGTAGTCTTTGTTATTTTCTTCACCGGTTCGCCAACTGATGTATACAGCGAGTACAAATCTTCCACAGTGTAAAGGAAAACTTCTTTTTCGACTATAGCTGCAATCGTGTTATGTCCCGAATATGACACAAGATTCCAGCCATGTGAATGAACGTCTATAATCGCGGACTCATCTGACGTCTCCAAACTCCAGACTCTGATTGAATTGTCACTTGACGACGAGACGACGAAAGGTCCATTAGGATACACGCTTAAAGCAGTTACCGGGTCATTATGGCCAATGAAGACCATTTTTACACACCAGTTTTCATCCCAGGCTTTAATAGATCCATCAGTTGACCCGGTTAGCAGAAACTTCGCAGGGTTGAAATACAACACACTTGAAATGTTCCGAACATGCAAACTCCTCTTGACCTGTTTCAACTCGAGGTTTCTGGCTTCGAAAACGAAACAATTGTTTTCAGAGATTGCAAACACTTTTTGTTGGTAGCCCGCATTGTGCTCCAGCGCAAGCATGGTTATCTGCGCGTTTTCAATCTCAGACGGACTAGAAATTGCTTCTGGAACTAAGTGAGTGTCTTCGTAATGAAGAGCCCACGCAATTACATTCCCGTATCCTACTGAAAGCAGCATTCTTTTGAATGGGTTGTACCTTATTGTAGAAGTCGGAAACTGCTCGTGATATTTCGACAGCACCTCAAGATTCTTGGAGTACAAAACTAGCGTCGAATTAATATCTTGCTCCTCGTTTTTCATGAGGCCAACATATCGCATTTGGTGATCCATAAAAACAATTTGAGCTAACTCATCGTCCAAAACGTGATCAAACAAGAACTTTCCGTCTGAATTGTAGAAACTGAGGGAATTTGTTTCATCCAGAACTATATATTCTTCCGACGTTTCATTGAAAATCACACTCAAAATCGGGTCTTCTAGAGCAAATGAGTTCCTATACTGCATTCCATGCGAGATGATCTTCTTCTTCGTCTTTTCTTTTTTCTCTCTGGCCGATTCTCTGGGTGCGCGGTAAGCGAGAACTTCATCTTGCTCTTCCTGGTCGCCTTCTGTGATACAATCTTTTATGTGGTGCCAAGCCGCTTTCGCCTTTTTCTGTCTCCCATCTTTATTCCGGGCGCTGAAATCGCTCTTCGCAGCGTCCGCAGACGGGGCCATAATAAAACAATTTTTTAATTATTTACATAAATTTGACAAGAAAGTAACGTGTGGCAAAAAAGTATATCAAACTTAGATTTATTTGCGTTTTAATGGCACGAAAAAAGGCACGTTCGTAAATTGTTATCAAAATGGCCACTGCGCATTATATTTTAATCAGGTGGCTTAACTGTGCGTACTTTCAACAAATGTGATTTTAATGCAGCATCTTCACTGCAGGTGGTTTTTTTCAATCAGAAAAGAGCACACAATACAAGCGTACTTTCTGCTCAAAAGCAGATTAATGACACCAGGAGCAAAACAAAAGCAATCGAATCAACACTAGGGATCGAAGCTGTTCGATTTTCTGTTCATTGATTTATGACAAAACTGCTCTACAAACGACACAAAATTAGACAATTTAAACAAGGTAGTGTTTCAAAACTCGAATTTGTTTGGCTGTGATTTTTTCAATTAAAATTTCGGAAGAATTCCGTTCTTCTAGAGATGTTTCATTTGAATAGAATGGTAGACTTTTAGTGGACCAACAGGTCCCGTTGTCTATCCGTTCCTGCTTTAAATGTGGCAAATTTAATTATGCTGATATATTGTTTATAAAAGGAAAAAAATATTCTTTCTTTCTTTCTTTCTATCTTTTTTTTCATGCAAAATCCGGATCCAAAAGAACGTAGGACTAGCATTCCGCAAAGACGTCGAAAAGAATCGAAGGAGCTACCATTTTAAGGCCCTTTCAGCATTGTCAGCAGTGAAAACTTCAAGATTTTATCTATCTAATAAATGGAATTAAAACTAGACTAGCATTTAACGCACCTCCGGTGCTTCGAAATTTTTAAACAGCTGGTGAAAAACCGCATTTATTGGAAACAAAATCTGCAAACTTTTAGTGTACTCCTCTGACTTCACCCAATTACAGGGTTGGTAATTTCAAACTTTTTTATTTTTTAATTCCCATGTCGCATGTGGCAAGCAGTCGCATGTGGCAAGATTTGTAACTCCTGAGAGTGCCCTGAAAGCACTGAACTACAAAGTTAGGAATTTCAAATTATGAAAAAAAATACTTAAATTTTCTGAAATTTTTCAAAGATAAATCACAAAAAACGTCACATCTCGAAAACTAGAAGGATTTGAACAGTCATATTTGGAGGCAAGATTTGCAACACCTTAGAGTACCCTAACAGCACCCATTCACAGGGTTGGGAATTTCAAACTTTGAAAAAAAAAATAATCTCGAAAACTACAAAGAATTGAGCAGTCATATTGGGAGGCGAGATTCGGAATCCTTGAGAGTATTCTGGCAGAACCCAACCACAGGGTTGGGAATTTCAGCTTTTGCGAAAAAAAAACTTATATAACTTTTCTGAATTTTTTTTGAAAAAGTCACAAAAAACGTCATATCTCGAAAACTACAAGGATTTGAACAGTCATATTTGGAGGCAAGATTTGCAACACCTTAGAGTACCCTGACAGCACCCAATTACAGGGTTGGGAATTTCAGCTTTTGCGAAAAAATCAATAATTTTTCTGAAATTTTTTTGAAAAATCACAAAAACGTCATATCTCGAAAACTACAAAGACTTGAGCAGTCATAATTGGAGGCAAGATTCGCAAACCTTAAAATTACTCTGACAGTACCTAACTACAAAGTTGGGAATTTCAAATTTTGAAAAATTAATTTTTGTTTTCTAAAAAATTTTTGGAAAAATCACACAAAGTCATATCTCGAAAACTACACAGAATTGGGCGGTCATATTTAGAGGCAAGATTCGGAATTCTTGAGAGTACTCTGGCAGAAACCAAATACAGGGTTGGGAAGTTCAGCTTTTGCGAAAAAAAATTAATATAAGTTTTCTGAATATTTTTGAAAAAATCCCGAAAAACGTCATATCTCGAAAACTACAAGTATTTGAACAGTCACATTTGGAGGCAAGATTTGCAACTCCTTGGAGTACCCTGAAAGCACCTAACTACAGGGTTGGGAAGTTCAGCTTTTGCTAAAAATAATAAATTTAAGTTCCCTGAAAATTTTTGAAAAAATTACAAAAAACGTCGTATCTCAAAAACTACAAGGATTTGAGCAGTCATGATTGGAGGCAAGATTCGCAATCCTTAATAGTACTGACAGTACCCAACTACAGCGCTGTGAACTTCAAGTTTTTAAAATCATTTCGTAATATAAGTTTTCTGAAAATTTCCGAAAAAATCACTAAAATAGTCTTATCTCATTAACTAAAAAAAAATGGCCATTCAAAATTGGAGGCAAATTCGCAACCCCTGGTGATTCCGGACAGCACGCAAGTATTGGGCTGCTTATTCTAAACTCGGTGAAATAACCACTAAAATCAAACTAAAAAATCGAAAAAATTTTTTTAACCATTGCAATATACGATATAGCTTAAACATGCAAAAATAATACGTTGAAAAAGCTTAAACATGGCGAGATAGTGAAGCCCGCATTTAAATATATTACTAGACGTCAATCGCACCTCCGGTGCTACAAAACCATTATTCAGAAAACTGACATACCATAATTCTCGAAAAATAGAAGGATTGAGCACTCATACTTGGACGCCAGATTTGCAATCCCTGAATGTACAATGACAGCACCTCACTATAGGGTTGAGAAATTCAAGTTCGGTAAATTTTTTTATATCTTATTTTTTTTGGAAAAAAAAACGAAAAATCATTTAAAAAAATATCTCGAAAACCAAACAAATTTGAGCAGTCATACTTGGACGCTAGATTTGCAGCCTTTGAGGGTACCCTGATAGCACCCCACTATAGGGTTGAGAAGTTCAAGATTGGTTAGTTTTTTTTATATCTTAGTTTTTGGAAAAAAAAAGAAAAATTTTTGAAAAACGCCGTATCTCGAAAACTATACGGATTTGAGCAGTCATACTTGTACAGTCATATATAATAGATAGATGAGACTAATTTCTCGACACTCATTACGAGGCCAAACTGTGCACTGGATTGGCGCACAATTTTGTGTGTATCTTCATGGAGTCCACACACACATCTTTAAACATTTTTCCATAATGTAAGTCAATTCCACTTACTAATTTTCCGTGGATTCCGCGTACAAACACCTGTAACGTTTATGTCGGCACATTTGTTTCATCGCGGGTTCCCCAATAAGCGAATGTAGCTAGTTGTTCTGGATTCCGCAACTGTAAGCGGATTTGAATACTGTGAGGCAACTTTTTTGAGGTTTATTTTAGAATCCGAATCACGACTGAAATGGCTTTAATATGGAATTACATTGAACCAGAATTCCTTCCCAATCCGTGATTTGGTCGAAAAGTTAATTTTTACTGCAATTTAGCATATAAAAAATAGTGCCCAAAAATTAAACCCAGTGCGAAAAAAAACTTGCTCAGACAGAGCGAGCTTCGCACAATGAAATACAATACAAAAAAAAACGTTGATCAATATGGAACTACTACATATTCCAGACATTTTGAAAAGTTAAGACATAAATTACAAGGGAATTTTACATATAATTACACAAACTTGTCCATCTGACAAATCAAGCTAGGCAGAAAATCGAGGTGACTATCTTACAGATCACCACAGCTTAACTGCCGTGAGATTAACTAGCCCTTCGAAATTCTGGCCCTGAGCTTCTGGACCCCAAAAACGTTTTATATTAAGCTTGATTTCAAGAACGTCGAAATGGCTGAGATAAACGCCTGAGGCCGTAGTTCTTCCCCACTTCGTGAGGTGGTCGGAAAAATAAACTTTCCACTAATTAAGCATAGAACAAACGGTGTTCAAATTGTAACCGCTTCGGAAAAATGAAACTTGCTGAGACTACAATATATGAACAAATCTCGCATCAAAAAATTTCATTTGGCATACTGAACCCAGGGAAAACAAATAGTAGAAAATCTGCAATAATGGGGTTCTTTTTAGTCTTTCATACTCTAGTGAAATCATACATAGTTTCAGAAACACACGATTGTCATACAATCTTGAATCAAAATAAATCTGCCCTCGCTGACAGAAAGTTTCGAAATCAGAGCCGCGCTCAAATTAGTTGAGCATACATATAATTAGTTGCCATAGATGAGAGTATGAAAACAGGAATAATTTATGGGAGCATATGAATATATAAGTTCGCAACAAACTATTAAAACAAGAACCGCAATGAAGTGACTGTTTGCTGCAGTAAAATCACAAAAGCACAAAACTAATGCATTACTCGATTCATTCGCGTATGCAATTTGCAAGCTCAAGATTAAAGATAAACCTAAATTTTTTCTTTTTTTTTCTAAACCTTCTGTACTTTCCCGCTACTGTGGTTTAAGTTGTACACAATCTACAAATAATGTGACGTTATTTTCATCATAACGAGTAGCGACTCTGACAGAAACACTTCATATAGCTTTTTGTCAATATCAGTTCAACTCAGACCACGGAGCTGTTATTTATTGTCCCCAGCCTCGACTAATCGGTCTTTGAATTGGTTACTTTTTAGATAGAGGCGGCTGAAAACAGATAAATGCCCCTTGAATTGATCAAAACAAGGAAGGATTTTCAAAGATCTATATCAATTGAACTCTGCCGCCCAATGTGAAGCTTAAAAAATTAAAACATTCACCTGGACATAATCGTTAACCTTAAAAAACATCTAGAAAATAAATCATATCACTTGAGTATAAAGAGAAAATCCAGTTACATGTCAAGAAGCTGTTTTCAGTTTTTTTGAATTATTGTGCAAGTGGCTGGCTGGCTCAATGTTAATGAGCTTGTCAGTTAGAGTCAAGGTCAATTTCAGTCCCCATACTGACGCAATTCCCTTCCATGGCTGTAACTTTTTGCTGTAAATTGGTCTGAAATGTAGAACTATTCAGACAGTTTTTCCCCGACGCAGAAGAAGCGTTTCTTAGCTTCTTATTGTAGTTGATGGCCTAAGATATGATACGTCAGTTGACCGACCCTACATGGCTTTTTCTTTTGAAACCTGGATTTCTTCCGACAAGAAGAAAACCTAAATCCTTCCGACATTATTTGAGTTAATAAAATTGTCTGATAATTATTTCATTGCGCGGTCAGAAAAAAAAGAAAGTATCCGGTAGATAAACAAGCAGCCCATAGCTACTGAAAACATTTTCTGTTTCCGAACTCAAAGCGACTTCTAGAACTCTCAAAGCGACTTCTAGAATAAATATTTCTATTTATGTTTTAATTTC